GCTCCGGCATGGGTAACGTAACCTAGACTACTAGGACCACGTCAAATGGGTTTCACCTTGGGATCAAACAACCCCTTACCAATTTATCAACTTACTATGTCGAGGCCGGTGATGCAGCAGGAAGACGATGTTGCCAGCGAAAGGAGCGATGTGCGCTGTGCGGAAGAGGTTAGACACTGGCGGGCGAGACGCCAGTCGACGCAAGCGAGATTGGAAATCTGCGGCGCGCATATGGTGGCCGCCTCCAAGGTGTGTTCGCACGGACTCATTGAATAGGCCCAGCTTGGTAACCAGCATAATGACCGTTTCTGCATGTCCAAACCAATAAATGCCCCGTGGCACCTCGAGACACCTGTACGGGGGGAAGAATAAACGTGTGAATATGCAAGCCATGGGAGACAAATTGTTCCCGCATTGCAATCAACTCAAAATCAGAGCGAATCTGGGTGATATGAAGCAACTTAAGGAAGGTTCTGGTAATATAGTTCCACTAGAATCCAGCATGCACAATATCTAAGCTGGGCACTTCTCTCAGCCCACGCTCAGTACCACTGTGCTGACTCATCGTACCTTTGCCTGCCAGGCCCTGAGCACACGAGTCCGGCCCATGCTCCGCGTCGATTCATCGTTCACAGCCAATCAATGCGCGCCATTTCCAGAATACGCAAACTGTGCACGTATACTGTTATGCCGATAGGAGTATTGAAATCGGAAAACCGAACTCATAAGAGCTGAAAAGCTACAGAGGATGAGCAGAACAATATTGCATAACTGCTGAGATTACACATCGTTTAAAACCGTGTAATAGAGGCAAGCGATTAGGCAGACAACTAGTTTCCGGGCCTTTGTGATTTAAGGCACTGAAACCCGATTTTTGCAGAACTCTTTAACAGGTGAGCTTCTTCTATCCAAAACTAGTGCCTAATAGACGTAGACTACATGGTGGATGGCAGCCACTTGAAAGTCTCCATCTGCGAAAAAACATGGATGGAACAGTCACCAACTTGAGCTAGGATAAACCGAGCCCTCCTGTTCTGATAGTACTTAATACTTATCACAACGCCGCATAGATGGCTAATATATCGTATTCAGGAATTCTACCACCGAAATTGTTCTTGTGCATCGGGTCGCAGAAGCTCAACTATGGGCCAATCCCTATTCCCAAAGTTGAGAGGCACTTAGTTACGTTTACCGAGACCTTTTTCGGTTACGGATTGTTCCCCCACGAACTTGCTGGACAACGCTTCTCAGCTCGAAATTTTCTATGTCGTTCACTGAACGCTCTTTGATAGCCCTTAGCTCAGATACGTTATCGGAAAAGCTTCAGCTGGTTGCGTTGAACGGCTGGCATGTTACTATGCGTTTTCATCTCTTCAGTAAAGCAAGTGTATACAACGTTGCTCGTGCTGTAGCGGATGCTTGCTGATGTAGGTCAGCATTTGTGACGAGCGTTTCAGTTTACAGAAGACAGTCTTCGCGATTTTGACGTCCGGTTGGCTGCAGACTAGAACTTTAGGGATTACCTCGTATTCGGTCTCACATAACTCGCAGGCTGATATTCAGAATGATACCCCACATTTTCGGCGTGTTTCGGACGAGAGTCGACCGACATAATGCTGCAATTGCTGGTTCTACCTTCTAGTTGGTACGAAGATTTGACAGATTTGCTTAATTCAGTTAACCCAATGATGAATAATTCGCCATCTCGGTGGGAGATAAATCCATGCCGCAAGCGGAGGATTTTTTACGCAGCCAACGTTCTACCTTTGAGCTAGAAGGCTCACAATGAGCCGTGAATTTACTCGCAGCAATCTCTGCTCTCTGGGTTCGACTCCCACCGAGGCCGCGAATTTTACATGATTGGGTCAATGGTATTAGGCAAACCTGCTCCCTAGTAATCATTCTGGCGGATTGTTGACAGATGATTGCCTATTAAATTTTGCCTAGGCAGTCAGCATGCTCTTTTGTAATGATATATTTCATACGAGCACTAATTTGGATGGGTAAACTCGACCTAAATGTTATTAAATTCACGGCACACGATGAGCCTCGTAGCTCAATGGTAGAGCACCGGCTGCGTGAAAGCCTTCTTTGCTGTGAGGTTCTACTCCCACCGAGGCCACGATTCTTCTCACAATTTGGTCAACGCAAGCATATTTTAGTTGTTCGTGCATGTTGCGAAGAAACGCAGCCTCTCGGCTAGCAACTAAAGCGAAATTGTAGCCGTCTTCACCTCTACCTGTACATAGCAGTCCTACAGGCAAGCTGCATTGTACAACAATCTCATCAACTTCATCCTAAATCTTGCGC